AAAAAAAAAAAAAAAAAAAAAAAACTCGTACATAATGGTACAAAATGCAACTAATACTTTTTTTTCGAAACGATAGAGATATTATAGATAAAAACGAACAATCTGTGCAAAAAAGCAGCCCGTGGCTGAATATTACAACCAAAGACTATAAACTAGGAGGACGGATCGAAAGACCGCCTAGAGCCTCGCTAGCCACGCTAGAAAAGAAAACACACGACACACAACTCAAAAACACCAGCACACCAACTACGGACACTCCCCACAAGAGAATTGAAACGCCCCCCACAGGGGAATCAGTGCCGATGCCAACGGCCCAAACCTAAAATACGATCCTACTACACAAGACAACAGAAAAGAACAACTAAAAAAACACACATTCACAAGCCTAGCAACACACCACAATACACAAAAACAGAAAAAACAAAGCAACAAAACAATAACAAAGCCCTTCTCTAGCAATCAAACGAGTCGGAACAACGGAGAAACAAAAGAATCCACGAAAGATCACAAGCCCAAGCCCAAGCCCGACCTCCGAAACTGCTGTCGAACGCCTATACAGAAGCCAAACCCGGACCTCGAATCTAACCCAAATAAATCCACCCAACCGAGTGAAACAAGGAACCAGCTCCCTACTACGTCGTCACCCGAACTCGTCTAACACCACTAGTCAAGTTCGGTTGCGCCGGAGTCCACCACCATCCCCAACACCAGAGAACCGTGGGGGTAAGAACTGCTCAGTTCCACAACTCCGACCTCCCCGACAATGCGTCGCAGCCGCCAGAGTCCCAACCCGCCCGCTGAAACACACCCATCCCCACTCACCGCAGACCTCCAACCCCATCCGCAAGAACCCCAACATAATAGGTGAAACCGACCCCATTCTCAGACCGAAAGATGATTGAGCAGCCAGGACACCTCAAATGTGGACCTGCCGGCGACCGTGAGACCATCATCAGTCTTCGACCAAGGGAGCTGCACGGGAATTCAACGCGCTTGCAGTCAAGGGCATGGATAGGAACCCCCCTGATTTAGCGAATTCGCCCCAATCCCGGACCGGGAATTTGACGCGCCGGCAACTAATACTTTAGTTTACCACAATACACCATCATTTTATGTATATAACAAATTGATATTAAATATGTAGTTTTGATACGGAAAAAGAAAGGACCAAATATTCGCGTACAAATTTATACGCAAAAGTGCAAAAACCATAAAAAAAACTCGCATATAATGATAAAAAAACCCCTATAAAACTTTATTTCACCATTAAATATAGGTACTAATTTTTCAGAAAAAAAATAAAAAAAAATAAGGTACTAATGTTATAAATACCATACCGGTGATCATACCAGACGAGCCACCGGTACGCAGTTCAACTGGTTCAACAGGTTTTACCGTATATTTTAGCGGTTTCAATAAATATTAAATTAATTTATTATTATAATAATAATATATAAAATTAACTATAATAAATAATAAAATTAACTTATATCTAATAACAATGTAAATATATTAAACTTAACTGTAGAATATATAAAAAATAATATGTTATAAAAATGTTAATATATTTTTTTTGAATCCGGCATATCCAATATTTTAACCATTAATTTGGCCGGTATTTTCCGGTAAAATCGGTATTTTCTGATATGAATTCGGTATAAATCAGTATTTTGGTCAAAACGGTATTAGGAGGTTATCATACCGGTCGGACAACCGGTAACCGACATTACTGGTAATACTGGCCGGTACATCCCGGTATTGAGTGGTATAACGGATAAGGAATTGAGTGGTACTAGTTTCAGATCATAAGAAGTTGATTAATTTTATTATCAGTAATTAAATTAATCAGTGGACGTATATCATAATCATAGGGATGGTAAATCGAGTAATTAGTTAATAAACAATTGGAGACGAATTAATTATAATTTGGAGCTAAATGGGGAGAACAATAATATTACTTTAGTGGAGTGTTTTATCATTCAATTCTATTATAAAACAATAATTAATTTTATTATCTATTAAATTAATTTCCTAAGTCCCCTAGCATCTCCTTTTGATGCTACATGGTTTTTTCACGAATATGGCTGATCGTACATGGTTAAAATTGTGAGAAAAAGAGTGTTCATTCTTTGAGAGAAATTTCGGCTACAACCGAGAGGTCTTAGAAAAGAAAAACGAAAGGCTTAGGGAAATCCAATAAATCGCACCACCAAGATTATTCAAGATTGTGTAAGGTCATACAATAGAAGATTCAAGGTCGTTTATTCGTATATCGACAAGTTTGTTTGTATCCTCGTCGAATATATTTCATCCAACAGCTTTCGGCGACCACTCGACGCACCTGGCAACCTTAGAGGAGCCTGACAGCGACCGCCAATATTCAGCTACCCATGGCCGTGCCCAGGCGTATCCCGAACTGCATAGCCCGTGGAAATCCTTGGTGCAGCCCCAGGTGCCCGGCGACCTTGCACAGTCGCGCG